CGATATAGTAATGAGGCGACCAGGCCCATCTCTTTTAGATAAATTATTAAATAGGTAGGTACCTACTCAATCAAGTCTTCCAATTTACATTTTACATTTATATTTTGTAGATAATTTGGGATAATTTGAAGAAAAATTTGAAATTAAAGAGAGACTGTGTGAAGTAACAAAATATGTGGTGTGCTAAGATACAACTAAATCGGTTCACCTTTAATAACAAAACTATAAGTGATAAACAATTTGGATTTAGGGACAATATGGGTTGCCAAGAAGCGATTTCTTATTTTTCGAAGTTAATCTATGAATCTTTAGACAAATTTAAAAGATGTTTAGGTATATTTTTAGACATAGCTAAAGCTTTTGATTCAATAGAGCACAACTTACTTCTAAAAAAGTTGAAAACAGTATTAGGTAACAATATCTTATGGTTGTGGTTTAAATCATATCTTTCAAATAGATCTCAAACAACAAGAATTAACGGTGAAACAAGTGACCCGTGTACAGTAAAATATGGTATACCGCAAGGGACAGTGTTAGGTCCGTTACTATTTAACATTTATGTAAACGATTTATTAAATATAGATATAAATGGCAATATACTAGCTTTTGCAGATGATACGGTTTTATTTTTCGAGGGGGAAACTTGGTCGGAAGTGGAAAACAAAGCAAACGCAGGACTAGTACGGGTTAATAATTGGTACGCCAAAAATAGTTTAATGCTAAATAAAAAAATCAGTATTTATTCCCTTTGCCTTGTCCAGTTATAACAAACCCGAACAAATTACTATTAAATTACATAACAATAACTGTAAAATAAGTAATAAACTAACATATGTAACCTAAATTGTAGATGTATATCTAGAATTGCTTCAGCCAAATATTTAGGTGTACCTAATATTTGATGAGCATCTAAAATGGAAACCACAAGTTGAATCAGTAATAAACCGTATAAGGAAATGTTTTTTTATTTTTAAGGAACTACGAAATGTATTTGATACTGACGGACTGAAAATGATATACTTCGCGTTAGTCCAATCCATATTAATATTATTAATGTATGGTCTGATTGTATGGGAATCAGCTTATAATAATGTACTAGAACCATTAATGATAACTCAAAGAATGCTAATAAGAGTCCTAATGAAAAATTATTATATTACTAAAAACATCAATACTAACGATTTATTTGTTAAATTGAAAATATGTACTTTAGAAGAATTGTATGAACAATTATCAATCATTAAAGTGTTTACTAATAAAACTGATTACGAATATAATAATATATATAAAACAAGAAGAGAGGATAAAGGTAATTTAAGATTAATTAAACAAAATACCACATTAATGAAAAATTACTATATAAATAAAGTTATTAAATTGTTTAACAAACTTCCTACAGACATTAAACAAATACATAATAAAAATAAATTTAAATTAGCAATTATAAATATGTACATGAAATCGTCTGACTAGCGTAGTAATGTCTCTTTGTCTCTATAGATTTTATTTGATCTCTTTTATTATAGATATTAATAATAAGTTATTGTGTTTATTATGTTAAAACATTTTTAGTTAATACTATACTATTAACTATGACATAGCACTATAGCAGTACATTTTATAATATTTCTTTTGTTATATATATTGCCAACAATTTATTATGTTTAATTTATGTTTATAAAAATGTAATTATATGATGCTGTTTAACAGTCCTTATATATTATACTATTAAGATTTTTTTGTAAAAGACTCCCTACTTCCGCCAAAAGCTTTGCTTACAGGGAGTAGGTATCAACTTAATATGTGAATATGTAAATATTATGTGATAATATGTGCCAATGTAGTATGTTGTAAGTTGAAATAAATAAAAATAAATAAAAATTTTTAAATAAATTATTACAATAAAAGTATTTTATAGAGAAACCTGGGTAAGACGAGGACTAGACGTAAGATGGGACATCGTTGTATCTCAAAAACTATTGATTGTTGGGAAAATTTTTTTTTACAAAAAATGTGCTATGCTGGTAGCTGGTCACACTTTAATAATATTATTTGATATCAACAAATAATTAAAGTGATACGGTGCACCTGCGTATTCAATATAACGGCCATAGGGCATAGGCGATGTAAAATTTTGCAGACATCAAATAGTGAATAAGTAAGTAAATAATTGTCTATTCTTAATATTACTCCTATATAATTTTTAGAAAATATTATTAGTTTTCGATTAATGCAAATTTGGTAGAGTTCATTCTGATTGTGAGTTTAATAGAAACGTTAAGTTAAATTATTACTGTTTGAGGTAAGACGCTCGGGAAAAATGCAATGGGGCAAGATGAAGACATGTCCCATCTTATCTCAATTCATTTTTTCAAATATTATAATAATTTAATACATTTAATTTAATTATTCTATTATATTTAATAATCATGCTCTTGAACAAATTTAAGCCATTTAAATTATATAGCTAACTACATTTATGATATTATAATATTATATTAACATAAATAATAGGTATAATATTTAAATTTATTATTATTTTAAAGCAAGTTTTACAATTTATTATTTGTATTTTAATGAATTTTCAAATAATTTAGTTTTTAGAAATGTCACGTTCAAGAGTCAGAGTTTCTAAACGCCAAAATTGGGATTCAGAAAATATGAGGAAGGCTGTGAAAGAAGTAATTGAAAAACGCATGACATTTCGTAATGCCTGTATTGAATTTAATGTACCTAAAAGCACTCTAGAAAGAAAGGTTAGATACAATCTTACTATATTATTTACTTATCTATATTTTATTTAGTATACCTACTTACCTATATGTAAATTAAATGTTATTTAGATTAAACAAAAGAACTTAGATCCTAGTTATGACACTGGGAACAAAGTGGCATTAGGACCAATATCTAAAGTGTTATCAACTGCTGAAGAACCTGAGCTATTATCCTATCTTCAACTTATGGAAGGACGTTTATTTGGACTAACGTCAAAAGATTTACGAAAGATTGCTTATCAGCTATATATGTTTTGGATTATTTAGATCTATATATAAACTAAGTTCAGACCCGTAGTTTTTTGGTTATAAGTATTAATAGTTTATATGATCAGACTGATCAGAGTATTGGAAACAAATTTTTTCAGAATCTACTAGAATGTATTAGTTAAATTAAACTATATAAGTATGTGGAATACAGTACCTAACCTTCTATGATAATTTGTTATGAATATATTGTAAGTAAAAGATCAAATTTAGCACTTTTAAGGTACTCAATACATTTTCCTAATATTTTAACAGAAATTATGGAGCTAAAAGTATAGAAATACCTATATTATGTTCAGTGAGGCACGGGGTGCACTAAAATACGGTCCATTATAGTTCATAGTTTTGTTTCATTTATAATAATAATGTTTTTTAATATACTTTTTAATAAATTAATATTTAATCAAGTTGGTTTTAATTATTTAATATTTGTTTGAACTATTAGTACGTGTTTTTCTGGGACATCACTATTATCACAACACCGTTGCCAATATGCTTAAAATGTTTTTATATTTTAGGTTCATTCGTTAAAAAACTAAATAGGTACCTACCTACCTACCAAGTGTATAATAAAGACATTTTTTTTGGTATACAAATTTTAATTATTATTTATTAATTTAAACAGTTTTTAATAAACGCGTTTTCATTCAGTATTTTTTCGAATTTTAAGTGCATATTTTTGAATACTTCAGTGCATATTTTAAATCATATTTTGCTTGTTTTTAGTGCATACATGTGTAATATTTAAGACTATTTTTAATGAATTAAATTCACAGCCCTGCTAATTACTTTTACTTACAATCATACCTACCACAGTTAATGTTAAATTGTCAACAATCAACTGGTTCTTCAACTTGATAACACTTATAAGGGATGTCAGATTTTTAGTGCACCATTTATTTCTCTCTCTGATCCACACACAATCATATTTACGTTTAACAGAATCAACCAGAGCCGGTTCAAGGACTTAATTTCGTACAGGCATAAATATATATTTTTATAAGTAATTTATAGTTGATAGGCCAACCTAAACTCCCAAACACAAATATTTTTTTTGCTTTACTGTTCAAAATTGAATACCAAAAAATTTAGATTTTCTTTACTTTTTTAATAAAATAGAATTTGTTTATGTTGAATATATTATATAATTGTAAAAAATCTTATAATATTATATTATTAAATTATTCTTGTATATAATTTAAATATTATTAAAAACGAAAATTAGTTACTTATATGATTAGTGACTATATAACGAAAACTGATAAGTTTAAAAAATGTTAATGAACTATTTTATTTTTCGTCTAATAATGATCGCCTTACCCGTACGCTAGAAATCACTGGGTTATAGTGTTGTAACTTTTAATATTAGATTGAATTAACCTATTATCAAACTTGAATATTTTAACCCTTTCACTGGTGAATTAATTTTTTCCTGGGATAACATTTTAGTTTTCATTTATTTTTTTCGTATTGCAAATATTTTTATACTTTAAGTATTAATAATGAATATATAGATATTTTTATTTTTTAGTAGATTAATTATAATTTTTTTTTCTTTAGATTTGTCTAATCGTTTATAATCATTTTTAAATTGTAATTATTTAGACGATCATAAGTCATAACTTATATAATAATTAAAATATCATCAAGTAACCAACGTAACGACATATGTAATCTTCTTAACTTAATATTTTTAATCTAACATTAAAAATAACAACTCCGTTTTGGTTCTGTTATTCGTACATTAGGTATGCTACGTGTGGATCAAAGATGGAAAGCAAATAATGCGCTGACCATAGATACCTATACCTAGTCGTGCCATAAGTTCTGTCCCTATTTATCAGTTTTTCCATTAATATTTTACGATAACACTAATGACTTTGTTTATGAATATAATTTTCAACAATTGTAATATCTACTATTTTTGGTTAGTACGATAGTTCACGTCACGTATTAAACATGGAATGGGGTATTAAAGAAAATCGTATTGCTGTTATTGCGTTATTTAAGTGTAATAAAACACCATTAGAGATTTTCAACTTATTGAAACTGTTGAAAATAACGAAAAAATTTGTTTATCGGACCATAAAACGGTTCAACGAGTTCAACACTATAGATAACAAGCCAAGAAGTGGACGTACATGTGAAATAAGAACAAATGCAACAGTCAAAGCTGTCACACAGAGGATTCGCAGAAATCCACTTCGCAAGCAAAAAATCATGGCTAGAGAAATGAAAATTCCACCAAGAACCATGTCACGCATAATTAAAGAAGACCTTGGTCTTGGTGCTTATCGAAGAAGCACCGGTCAGCGGTTGACAGACGCTTTACGTCAAATTAGAATGACAAGAGCGAAGAAGTTACTTAAGCGGTACGCAAAAAATGGCCACAGACAGATAATGTTTACAGATGAAAAATTTTTTACTGTAGAAGAAATATTTAACCGTCAAAATGATAGAGTTTATGCTCATTTCTCTCGGGAAGCTGCTGAAAAAATTCAAAGAGTAGAATGAGGACATCATCCAGCCTCATTGATGGTTTGGTGGGGAGTGTCATATGAGGGTGTTACTCAACTGCATTTCTGTGAGCAGGGAGTCAAATCACGTGCGGTTAACTACCAAAATGATATTTTAGAAAAGGTAGTAAAGCCTTTAAGTGATACTTTGTTTGTAGGAAAGAACTGGACCTTTCAGCAGGATTCAGAGCCTGCACATAAAGCAAAAACCACACAACGCTGGTTAGAGGTCAATTTACCTGAATTTATCGCCGCTCAAGATTGGCCCTCGGGAAGTCCAGACCTCAATCCTTTGGACTACAGACTGTGGAATATTTTAGAGGAGAAGGCCTGCTCTAAGCCCCATCGAAATATCGAATCATTAAAAGCCGATTTGGTAAAATCAGCTGCCTCAATACCGTTAGAAGTGGTGCGTGCTGTCATAGACAAGACGAGTGGCCAGATCGTTTGAAGAAGTGTATAAATGCAAATGGTGGACATTTTGAATAGTATTTATTTTTTTTAGTTACTAAGTTAATAAAGAATAAATAGCATCAGTTTTTTTATATTTGTTTTATTTTTTTTATTAAGTATACACTTTTGTATAAGGGACAGAACTTATGGCACGACTAGGTACAGGGCCGTATTAAGGGACCTAAGCTAAGCCCCTCCCCAGCCCACCTAGTATCGCTTATGTGGCCTGGGCTTTTAAAATCAGAGTATGGGGGACAGCCGACAGGGCTGGGATTTAATATTATGAATTGAAATATTTCACTGGATGACCAAAAGGACTACCCTCCATATCATGTTTCAATAACTAATAAAATTAATTGAATACGTTCTAAAGTTGCTCCAAAGCTCGACATTATCCGAGTATTTTTAAAAAACATGAACCTAAAAAAAAATCATTAAATTGTTTTTTTAAAAAATCCTTTCATCTGCATGTGTTGCCTACAAGTGTGTCTTACAAGTGTGAAAGATATCACTTTTTCATTCAGTAGCCCGTTCAGTAGTTATCATTATAGGCATCAAAAGTTTTAAAAAATATTAATCACTCTAATATTAAAACTAACAAAGATAAAAAAGATTACATTAAAAAATTTAATTAAGATCCGGTGAAATTGATACCTACTTGCAAGACGGGAGAATACATGCAGATAAATCATTAATTAAATATGTATTAAATCATTAATAGCTACTTATTACTTTTACAATCAACATCCAATCATACTTCCAAGTTGTGATCACAGTCTTATTGTGTCAACTTTGCATCATATACTATGAATGGGTCCACATCCCGATAATTTTGAGCACATATTGATGACAAGTCTCTGACTCTGATAGATGTGAGAAGAGAAATGTCTCATATTTATCGATGCGAATTGGTATGTATCAATAAATACGTCAGAGACTCGTTGATTGCTTATATGTGCTTCAAATTGTTTACACGAGTTAGTGTCACAGGGCTGTATCAAGGGACAATTTATGGGGAAGCAAACATAAATATGACCCCTAATTCAGTATACGCCTTTTTTTTACAACTAAATAACCAAAAAAAAAAAAATGTATCGCTACGCTCTATAACAAACATTATACAATATATACTTACAAAAAAAACTATATGCTTATCTACTCATTAGTTATCTAATCATGCTACACTTAGGCAGGTATTGTATTTTACAATATATTTAAACACATGAACCAGATACAATTTATACAAATTAATACATTATTACATACACAATATGACGTCTACGTTTCATTATTAATTTCAAACTCATGTCTCTTATATGGTATATTCTATACCTATACCTATGAATTATTGTAATGATAAACGACTAAGGAAGTAGGTATAGGTACTATGTCTAAAATTTTAAATATAATATAACACTTACATTATCCTAAAAATTGACCAAGTTCAAAACTTTCGTTATTTCTTGTATAAAAAAATAGTATAGATACAAATAGATAGGAATATAATAGATATTATAATCGAATAACAAGCTACATAGTCTCAGTAGTCAGTACTGCAATATAATGGTAGGTGGCATTATCGTATAATTCTGGCAGTTCGGTGCCCCGGCGGCTATTACATCATTTACATGTCAATATATTATGTAGTTATGCAGAGTGATAATATTAAAAATATTTCAATTAGTACGTAGGTATTAGGTTATTACGAAAACAAGGTCCACAAACAGCGTTCTCTTCCAATAAGTAGACCTAATAGTTCTAATATTAGATTCCATTACGATTTTAAATATTCCGACAATTGTCATCGCAAATTCGTAAAAAAAAAAATTAATATTTATTCTACTAAATATTTTATTTTTATTATATTAAAAACGACATTTTTTTGCCACCCTTAATTATTTGGCCGTCCCTGCCGTCTGGAGCAACTGCGAGAATAATGTTATACCAGTATAGTTACAATACAAATAATTGAAAAGTTGTAGGCAATAATATATCCCCTGATCAATTAACAAAAATAAAAAGAAACATACTGAAAAATAAGAAAATACATACCCCGCGTCCGTGGTGAATCAAAATCTGCTATAAAACTTGGTCTTCGAAACACTGCAAAGTCTTCTCATTTCAGTCTGCTTATGCTATATTTTATTCCCGGCTAACAAATCTTCACTGACGAATTAATACCATTTCTGAAATAACACGCAGCTTTCAGTAAAATGTTCAACAATATTCTTATGATCTAAGCGTCACGGATATTATATTTTATATGTTTAATGTGTATTACACCTACCTAACTATTATATGTTAGCAAGCCCAGATTAAGGATCAATTGGGCCCCGAGACACCATACACTTAGTGGGCCCCCTTTCAACTTTAACTTCAAAATAATTGTATTATTACATATTAACGACTTTATATTATTGTATAATTTTTTACTATGCAAAAAATATACAGAGTGAATCTTACGTCATAGTACCAGTGGCGTATTTACGATTTTGGCGCCCCTTTTTTCTCAGTTTCCTTTTATTCATTATCACAAAAAACTTTTAAGCCACCTTTAATTTAAAATTTACTTTAACCGGTATTAAATTCAATACCGACTCGACAAAAATTGCATACCTGTATAATAATTAAAAACCGAAAATATCATTTAAAAAACGGTATTTTTTTTTTGAAAATCTTTGTATCTTGACATTTTTGAAAGTTTACTTTACACGAGAGATCGGACTCTCGATCCAGCGATTCAAAAAAAATTAATAAACTAAGAATGAACGTAAATAGTCCAGGTATTGAAACCGATTTTAGAAACCGGTATAAACCGTTTAAAAACTGAAACCGATGACAAAATCAAAAACAAAATCGTAAAAAATTGGAAATCGGTATTAAATCCAAAACCAAAACCGAAAAAAATTAGAAACCAGTGTATAAATCGAAACCAAAACAGAAATTTTTTTCAATCGGTTTCAAGCCATTTAAAAGTGATAATTGATAACTCAAATGTATATTTTCCCCTTATTGCATTTATGCTTCCACTAATTTAGAGAACAATTTTATTTTAAAATTAACACTTCCATTTATTCCTAATAAAAAGTCAACCATTATAATAAAATAAACAAATTATAATTTAGATTTCAGCCTTTTAGCCTTTTTTTACAACAATTTAATAAAAATAAAAATACATTATATATATATAACATTACATTGCTATATAGAAATATGTAATATATTACTTATTAACTATGGTCCTCGAAAGTTTAGTATAATATGCGTTAATACTTTTAACTGAAATACCTAATTTACAAAAGCTAAATATTTTTTTCTTATAACTACAGGTAGTTAATAGTTAAATCAGTAATCGAAAATACTCAGAAAAAAAAACATAATGAAAATTGTGTTTACCAACGCAGTTCATTATTTATAGTAATTTTTCATGATATAAAATTGAGAACAGTTTTATTTTATAATTATTATTTATTAAGTAATAATAATTTATCTACTACCTATACCTATACCTACTTCAATATATATATATTTTTTTAAATGTATTGGAAGCGTTAATAAAATATATTTTGGGGATAAAGATGGGCCCCCAAAATCAATGAGCCCCGTTATCGTGCCACCCTTGCCCCCCCTTAATCCGGGTTTTTGTGTTAGCTTGTATTTTAGAGTGCACTACTGGAGAAATGAATATTTTGATTTTACAATGATTTGTATATGATTCTCGTATAACGATTTTCTTATTTTGTTGTTATTCAACAACCATTAACTGTCGGTATTTAAAATGTCCATCAAATGTTTAAACTATCATAATATATATTATATAATGTTCAAAATATTTCGACTCGTTTTTAGTGATTTATAGACATTTGAATTATGAAATGTTTTTAGTTCTGTATTCTATGAATTTTATTCGTTGGGTCAAAAAGCTTAAAAATAATACAAAGTTAATCGTAAGTTAATATAATAGCAGTTAAAAAATATTAGAAATATATAGGCACGTTTTTATTTACGGGCATTTAAAATTCAAATTTCTACCAAATTCATCATAATCTTGACAATTTTCAAAATATTTTGTAGTCAGATATTCATACAAAAATTTATTATTTGTTTATCAATAATATGAAAATGTAATAAGAGTTTATTCATGAGTAGTTATAATAGCAATTGAGAAACAATAAAGATCCATATAAGATCCATTTTTTTAAGAAATTAAAGTTCAATTTTTAACAAAATTTATCAAATTGATAATTTACAAATTACTATTTAGTAGTAAAATTTATAAAATGTTCAACTTTTTTTGGTAACGATTGAAAATGTAAAACAAGAATTCTCAAAAATAGTTCATAGTGAGTGTTCATACTCTAACAAAAAAAAACTAAATAATTTATTAAAAACACAGTTAATTTTCACAGACATTATAAGTTCAAATTTGGACGAAATTACTTATTAAAACAAAGAATAACGATTTTAGTTATTTTGTTGTAATTTAAAAATAGTAGGTGTTCGTGGATTTATAAAATGTTTAAGGTCGTTCTTACAATGTCCGGTTAAATTTAACCTACACATAACCCGTATAATTCTGCAGGTAATAAAATCTGTTATTAGTCGGTTAGCGTTAACCGACACTTTACCGGACATTGTAAGAACGGCCCTCAGAGTATATTATTATAATTTATATACACGAATACACGATGACACTTTTAAATGTAATTTTTTGAGCAAAAATGACTATAAACTACTGCTGTACTAATGCTTAATAATCTGTAGGCAATGTGGTTATGATCATAAAAAATTATTCCACTCAAATTTAAAATACTTTATGTTTTATAATTTTTTTATAGCGAAATTTGATTTATTTTTTACCATATATTTTAGAAAAAATGAAAGTAAAATTAAGCGTCAAAAGAATATGAAAAAAAACTTACTTTAATAGTTTAATTATCGACTCTTTCGGCGGAATCCGTAAAGTGTGAGAACTGTGATGCCGATGACGAAACGCTTCAGAGAATATAGAACTTAAAATATTGTGATTTATGAAAAATAAAATTATACGGGACGCAGTAAGTTTTTTACTCATATCTGCTTTGCTTATTGAAATTTTAGAATTTTTAATCGACTGTGTCGTCTGCAACGACATTGAGATTTGCCATAGAATATAAATGATAGATATTATATTATACTAGGTAAAGTCAATATGATGAATCCACGGATCATATAATGCAACTTTTTATATCAAAGAGTTCCATGTTAAGGAACAATATTTGTTCGTTGAAATTTTGTATGACAAAAATCAAGATAGTTTATAATTTTGAATTTGAATTATAATAATAGGTATCAAATATGATATATTATTTTCGTTTATTAATTTAATTATTTATTAATATGGTGAATAGATATCTGCAGAAGTACAAGCATATGTTTATAAAAGCTTATTGTATTTTATAAATCATTAAATAAAAATGTGATTACTGGATTTTAGGTAGGTAACATAAAGGTATACTCAGTAAATTCATCAAATTTACAGTATCGGCTATAATACCAACTAGATTCTAAAATTTCAAATCTAACATTTTCTACGAATACTGCTGATCACAAAATTATTAATTATTATTCAATATTATAAAAATTTTAATTGTATCGGGGACCTATAATTTGTATTTTAGATTCTGAGTGGAACGATGAATATTTTGATTTTACTATGATGTGTATTTAATTTTTATTATTTCTTTGTTTTATTTGATGTGTACACGATAAGTAGGTAGTCAAATTCGACCTTCGTTTTCCATGCATAATATATTATAGGTTCCTACTCTGTATGTAATCAATGATCATATTGTTTATTTTTAAGTTTCTTTGTATCCAGTAAATAATAATATAGGAAATTGTATTTTAAAATAATAATTTTTTGTTTGTATTAAATACATACCTACACCATAATAGGGAACTAAAATTGTCATTTATCGTTAAAATAATACATTTTGTGAAAAATTCAATTTTTGTAGAAAAGTGTTTTGTGTAGGCATAATAAATGTTACATTAAAATTTAAAAAATTCAAAAATTAGAATATAGGCACTACAGTTTCCAGCGTCTACTACAACATTACGTTATATTATGTTTTTAATTATTAAAATGCCTTAAAAGTAAACGTAAATCCCAAAATAATATGAAAACAAACTTACGCTGAAACATCGACTCTTCCGGTGAAACCTATAGCTAGAGTGCATCAACAATGCAAACGTCCGCAGTACTTGAAGCCACCGAAGAAACAGCTATCTTCATCTCGTTCCGAACTGTAACTTGAAATTATCGAAATATTTTATGAAAATTACCTGAACATAACGAAATGTGCGAATTCGTGTTAATACTTACATAATAATATATACGGCTTAACGAACTATCTGTCCATATTGATGGCTTATTATTTTTTTTTTCACTAAAATTATTAGAATTGTCAATCGTCGCAGACGAATGTCGACAATTGGCGATTGCCATAGATGATATAAAATATATTTTTTAATATGATAAATCCATAGAACTTCTACATTCAGCACATAAACGGTCTATTGATAAATCGTGTGTTCTTTTACAGAAATGACTGTGGTTTGCAATGTATTCTTGTTTTCTATTTCAGTTATTTTTCGCATACTAAATTTCACCAAACAAATTAGTCCGAATATTTATTGACATCACAAATATATAATATAAATTATAATTTACAGTAGTTTATATGAATTATATCTGTGATAGACATTCTAATATCTAATGCATTTTCCCGCCGGAGGCCATACTCCATAGACCCAGTTCAGGGGAAGTTAAATTTTTACCTACAAATTTATAAAAAAAAAGTGGTTGGGGCAAGAAACTTTATGATTTTTAAACTGATAAATAATTTACAAAATAATTTTCTCATGACTATAAATAACGCAAAAAGAGTCAAAATAGTTTGAAAATTTTACCATGTATGGAAAATTCAAGTATAAATATTTTTTACTTTTGATGTTACAGGTGGAAAAATGTATGTAAGTTCACAACAAACATAGGTAAGTTGTTTAACTTACCCTACCAATAATATTACTATATAAAATAATTAAAAGTGATTTGCAACCAGTTATAAGATTTATGATGAAAAAATTGATTCACGGAAATCATTAGTTGTTATCGCATAACCTTACGAAGTTCACGATTTTCGGTGTTTGATGGTGCAAAAATAATTCATAACAAGTTGAGGGATGTTTTTAATTATAATTGTCCGAGCGAGCACAGCGTGCAAGTGAATACGCAGGGTAGGTATATATGAGATAACCAAAAATTTCAATTAGCTATAACTTTAAAATAGACTTCACTATCATTTTCAATTAAAAACTAATGTTTTTCGGCAATTAATTTTTGCAATATCGTTCTTAATTCGTTTTAACTTCGTGGGTATAGAATGAAAAGGTTCTAAATCTTTAATATGAAATTGTCCAGGAGAGCAATTTTAAGGTTTGAGTTAAAATAACTTATTCCTTGAAATCATTTTGTTTAAATTAAAGTTCTAAGGCATGTAGCAACTTGTATAGTTTAATTCACATCAGTATAATAATAATTTGCTGTATAGTTGGTATTAAAATTAATAAAATACATATTATTATAAATTGGTTCTACAATTAGGAACTTTTCAACCTAAAATAAAAAGAAATTTATTCATCAATTAGAACTTTTTCATTCTTAACTGTTATTTGTATTATTTTTAGCTGAATAGTTTTGATTTATACATTCAGGCATAATTTGAATACAACTTTTTGTGTTCTAATTGTTAAAATGTATTTTTTAAAAATAATAATCCTTTAGAATTAAGTACTTATTCATATTTTGAATAATTCACTCAGTTACTACACTGAACTAAAAAAAGCGATCAATATAATAAAAATATAGATTAATTTGAAAAAAATATCATTAATAATGACCCCATAAACATTTTATCAAATTGATGAAGAAACATTTGTCAGTTCAGAAATTGAAAGTTTGCTTATAGAATTTATATCAATTTAATAAATTATTTATTATGTTAATGAATTTAATTGTATACTATTGATAAATACTTTATCACCTTAATAAAATACATTATTAATTAATAATAAATATATTATTTAGGCTATAGCGATAATTTATCAATTTGACAAAATATTTATTGTCTTGAAAAAATTATTTTAGTTCAACCAAAAAAGTAATTTGGATTATTATTGAAAAAAATTATTCATTATTTTTATTGTAAAAAATTGGCTGTATAAATATGTGATGAATTCATCATTATTTCATATTGATTCCAAGAAGAAATCAGGATGTTTTCATTATGTAATCAGTAAATGTAAAACAATATTAATGCAAAATTATTTATTATATATATACTCCAAATATACACATCATTAAAGTATAAAACAAAATAACATATTTTAGAACTTAGAAAAAAACTAAAGAAAATTTAAATGAAAAAAACTATAAACTTAATAATATAATACTTTGGTATTTAGATACATATATTTAACGAATACAATTAGTTTTATATATTTAATAAATTAATAATATTATGAATACCTATGTATATTTTAATATTGTGTATAACAAAACAACATAATACTTTATACTCGTATATGAAAAATTAAATTATTTATCATAAAATGGTGTGCTATATATATAAAAGTATGAAGTATAGATGTATAATTTCTTTACATTAAAAAATAGTACACAAAATAACATATTCTAGAAGTTGAATAAAAACATTGAAATAATTTAATAAGTTTTAAGAAAAACTAAAGAAATTTCATACAAAAAATTAATCAACAAGATAATATTAATTATTATACCTTAGCATTTAGATACATAAATTGAACAAATATATAACAAAATTATAGACAAAAATATTTTAATATCTTAGACTATATGAATGAATTTATTATTTTTGTTTCTTCAAACTATGTAACACTTGGGTAACTAATTGGTGTGGAGTATCATATTTAGTAGATATACCATAATAAAATTTTTGTATGAACATCCATACTGCACATGATTGCAGAGGATATTGTAAATTAAACAAATTAAAAAGTTTAAAACATATATCAATTGCACGGGTAATATTAAAAACTTTATATTTTATCGAATCAAAGTACACTAAAATTTGGTTTGGTTTTAGTGGTGTACCAATTACAATGATAAAAGGCTGTATGGGTAATTTTTTATTTTTTAAATGTTCTAAATAATTTTCAGATTCACTGATTGAATTATTAAAAATAATAAAACTCTTCTGTGAATCCTTAATGGAATATTTTGTTACATTGTTCTTTCCTTTATCATCTTTGGTCACTTTACGAGATGTTGGCACAAATAGAGAACTCAGCAGGTGGAAAAGTGTACAGTCTTTACCATCTAAATAACAGTTCATAGTTTGAGTTAATTTTTAAAATGGTATACAATAAAATTGAATGTTCATATTACTTTGTGTAAGATCATTAGTTGTTTTGAGCTCTTGTAGTAACAATTTACCATCTTTATCTTTAATGTATTGTTCTAATATTAGTAGAATATTATCATATGATTTTTTGAATTCTTCACATAAATCTGGAATGGTTGATGACTGATATAATCCATTGAAATCAATGTCAACCTAATTCATAAAATGTGATTAATTTTAAAATGTTTAATATATTTAATAAATATATTTAACTTACAAGTTTATACCCTAATGGCATAGAATAATGTTTCCATTCCTTTAATATTTCTGCTGTTAAATTTGCCTCTTTTATTTTATTTAGCCTGTATTGCATAGTGGCAGCCCAATGTATAAGTAAATTTGGAAATGAAATTTCATCATCGTATTTTATTATATCCAACAAATAATCAACGTCAGTTTCTACTACTATTGAACAAGCAAATTCAAAAATATAAATATTAAATTACCTAAGTATTTATGCTTATAATAAAAGTTGTGTCACTAATTTAATTGTAACATTTCTACTATTTCAAACAGTTTAATGTATGTTTATTTACCAAATGAATCATTCCGTTTAGTAAATGTGTCGTTATGGGCAGAATTATTAGTTGTAACAGGATTGGTTTTTAGCCCACTAGTTTTAAGTGCACGCATACAATTATAAAATTTAGCATACAATTTTCCTCTTGGTGCTTTATTATTCCCATGGCGCATCAAGTAAATATCCTAATAAAAAACAATAATTTATTTTAAAAAAATGATATATTATAATATTGTATGTTATATTTTTATACTTGCCTTAATCTCTGAAGGAAACATAATAGTTATCTGTTCAGCAACACTTTCAGCTAGGCTAATTGACATTGGTATATTCTTTGAAATAATATCATGGACTATGAGATCAACTAAGTTTCCTCTAATGGTATCATTTAATTCCTTGTGAATTTCATAATAATCAAGTAACAATTTTCCTTTTGTAGAATTAGCTAAAATAGTATGCACTTGAACCCCAGAAACTAAAGTCCTGTCTATTTCACTTAGTGGTTTGTTTTCTAATGACGTTTGTAGATTCTGAACACCAGAAACTAAACTCTTATCTATTGCAATTAATGGTTTATCTTGTAACGATTTTTGCCATGTTTCTACACAATTTTCAAACTTAATCAATATTCCAAGTGGTTGTGTTGACAAAAGTTTATCTATGTGCCTAGGTTTTATATACTTTACGGCATCAATGTCAATACACTCATCTGCAACATAAACAATGAGAATGAAATTAATTACAATTTGTTAATTAAATATTTAGTAAAAATATAATCATATAAGGTACTTTTTTATGTAAAGTTCAAGTATAAATTAATTAATCATTGTAAAATACTTGCCAAAGCATACTTGAAGAATACATTCCAAATTCCAACCTTTTAATAGTGCATTGATAGATTGCACATTTTTATCATAAGCATCTTTATTCGATAGTTCGCTACATTCAGTTGAATCAATATTGGCCTATAAAATTTAATAATTTTGTATAAGTAATTTAAAAATATGTCTTATTAAATTTCTTACATGTATATCTGATTGATTATCAATAGATTCATAAAATATATTTATCTTCTCAAGGTTGGCCAGAGTTAAGTCATCAGCGGAAATTTTAAAAATATTTTCGGGAACATCATTCAGCTCCATATATATAATACTTTTTTACAATGTCTACTAGTGAATACTTATTAAAATAATCGAGTAAACATGGATGCCGCAGGTGTCATTTTTGCAAGGTATTTATCCGAGAAAGTTTCTGCTGCTTGTAACCTGCTCTTAAAAAGTTTTTGTCTACTTCCATTTCGCCTACATTTTTTCATCAATTGATTGGCAATAGTATACAATTTTTTACATTTTGGTGTTAGATGACTACATTTTGTAACACCTATCTGTTTTAATAAACCTATATATCAACATTAAAAAAATATTAATTAATGTATCATAATAGTTCTAATATATAAAAGCTTAAATAATTCTATAACCAGTATCTTTTTCTTTGTTATTTGATTTTTAACTTGTGCTGATATTCTAGTGATATTACAAAGCAAGCCGTTATCGTCATCTGCATAGCAAAGCAAAACATATTTGATAGTCATGTCGTCATGGTGTTGGATATAGGCGAATAGCAAATTTATAGTTATACTTTTAGTGTAATAGTTTTAATATAAGTTTTAATAGTAATAATTTAAATGAAATATATATTGTATAAAGCTAGGTGTTATGTATTATTAGCTACGTAATACGTATATTTAAAAAAATTCAAATTATTATATACATACGAGGTAACAGAGATGGAGCATCTAATACATCAAATCCAGATAAGTCGAGATTGGTTGAAGAGGTACAAGGCAGGTTCACTTCTTCAGAGTCATTTTCGGAGTTGATGTGTAGTGATTGTGTACAAGAAGATGAATCACCTGTTATAATAAAATTACATTTCACAAATTGTAATAGGTACCTAACATAAGTCAGTTTTTTTAAGTTTAGGTAAGACTATTTGAATATACTAATAACAACTGTTATTTACCTGCAGGAATATGTAGAGTAGGATATGAATTGCAGTTCAATCTTTTGGTCCCAGGACTTAAACAATCATTTGTGAAATGTGCACCACAAATTCTCTTCTTGTTGTACACAATTTGAGGATCTTCATGCTCTAACCACAGCCTGGTTCTAATCTATACAGCATTTATTTGTTTATAGATTGTACATTTTTGATATGTGCAACTCAGAATCTAAATATTGCTTTTTTGTATCATGTCAGTAATAATGTGATTCAACAGTAGAGAAACTAGATATATGGTCTATGGCATATTGTTTGTCCTCTGCTTTAATATGATTAGTTGTATTCTTGTCTAGCTTTTCATCAGGCGGAGTTAATGATAGTGGGTTTGATGAATGACAATTATAAATAACCTTTTGGCTAATACATAATGTGTTTAAGAAAAATTGTTAGCAGACTCTAATCAATAATGTATCAGTTTTGTAGAAATTATACTGGTAAAATTTTGTCCTTTGATTTATTTTTACTTTTTGAAGTAATTAAGGATTTATAATTAAGTATAAATAAAATTTTATCATTTCTGCTGACACTGTAGTATAAATCGTGAATACTTATTATTTCATCTCGATCAAAATTAACTAAACAACTATATGCACAACTATTACAAGACCTTAGAAAGTTTACAATTTTGGCTGGAATTATTTTGCCTGTTTTAGATACATGTTCAAGTCCTTCAGTCAAAACATTATTGATTGATTGTTTCCAATTTTTGGGATTTCTTTGTTTTTTTCTGGTAAACTTATTATCCATTTTGATTGGTGCCTTTTCTGATGGTGATTCTTCACAAGATGATTATTCAACTAACCTAAAACATGGCAAATTATTTTAGTTTTGTTATTAAATTACAGTTTGGTGTATTTACTATCTTATTTTATAATTACTAAAATACATAGATTTTTAAATGTAATTTGGGTATTCTTAGGTATAGCATGCACTCTGTGCAACATGTTTGCATTTATGCAATACACTTTTAGTCTATTTCCATAAGGTTAATATAAATATTAATAAAATAGTAAAACATAGTACAATATTATAACATAATATACAAAAATAAATTGTTCAGTGAAAATTAGTATTATATATTTAGTATATTTAATGTTTAAACATAAAACATTAAGGTATTTCTAGTTCCTACTCCATTATTAATTTATTAGTAATACATGCAGGCTTTCATTAATTATATATTTATCTGATACTAATATTAAGAAATGTTTTTATTTTGTGTATCTCATATTGTCATTATCATATTGAAGTATACTACTCATAAAAACATAACAAAAAACACAAAATACATGATTTTATAGCAACAATTATAGTTAGGCACTGGTTGAATTATTTTAGCTTAAATTGGAACTATGTTTAATTAAAATAAATTATTATTGTAGTGTAACATTACCTTGACATGTTTGTTGAATTTTCATCAATTAAACCATAAGAGATGAGAGTATGTACTTTCTGAGGTGACTTTTAGAGTCCATCCAATCTTGTAACTCATTAATACTTTAAATTTTGTGAATCTCTAGAGTCTTGAAGTAAACTAGGAGTACAAAAACAAAACAATTTTTAAGCATAGTTTAACTATTTAAAAATTAATACAAGCCAAAAAAGGTGCTCTGCTGTACAGTAGGTTACAAGTGGGTCACTGTATAATCGATGGTATTAAATTTGAATTCAATGATATAATATCATTGTATAAGAAAAACGATTCTTAGCGGAGACGGCATGTCAGTCTAGGTTTAAGACATATATATACATATCTATGGTATTTTAAAAAATATTGACTTATAATAGGTACCTATAATAAATTAAAAATTAATCATATCACAATATCCAATGAGCACTTATAATGCGTAATACATCAACAAAAAAATGTGATAGGTACTATCATAGATACATAATAGTACACTTTAGAAGTTTCAAGTAGGTACCCAAGAATAATATTATACAATCACAACAAAATAACTAAATGCTAGGTTTTTTAATATGGAATTTCGTCCAAAAATGAACTTAAAATGACTATAAAAATAAACTGTGCTTGTGTATTTTTAATATTTTTCAACTGCTATTGTAACAATATATCAGGAGCATTGTATTAAAATTTTACACTTTTTGACCCAACAGATAAAACTTCATTGATATTCATAGAAAAAAAAAGTAAAAAAAATGAAAACTGACAATGCCCGTAAAGAGCTCAAAAAGTGTCAAGATATTTTGAACATTTTATCAAGTATAAGAATTGATAATACAAACATTCAGTGAAATTGTCATTTATCTACAGTTATTCGTTTTTCAAGTATAACAAAATAAGAAAATCGTTACATGAGAAATCGAGTGAATAACACATTTTGTAAAAATATGAATTTAAAATGCTCATAAAAATTTAATTTCAACTTCCGGTAGACATTTTTTTTTTTTAAAGGTAGATAATTTTATAGGGAATCTTGTATTACATTTAAAAATCTTAGATTGAAAAAGAAAAATTTTTATGAATTCTTAACTCAAAAGAATTTGCTAATTTTTGTGATTTTTCCATATTTTGTCAATTTTTGAACTTTATATGCTTATGAAAAAAATCTGTGACTAAAGATTTTTAATACTTTTCAAATGTCATTGTAACAATATAGAAGGAGCATTGTACTACATTTTCAAGTATTTGTACTCAACAAATAAAGTTTTATTGACATTCATAGAAAAAAAACTAATAAAATGGGAAACTGCAAATATAACTAAACAGTTAAAAACATATCATAATATTTTGAAAATTTTATCATGTATAGAAAATGCAAATATAAACAAGCAGTGAAAATTTCATGTATATACGTTCATTTGTTTTAGAGTTATTAATAATAATAATACTATTATAATAAAAATAAAATGTTTGCTATTAATACTATTTAAAACCTCTCTAATATCGCACTCCTAGAACAAGACTGCTACAACTCAAAATTTATAGTTTTGAGAAAAATCAATTTGAAGTTTGGACCTTAGATATTTTAATGAGTTTTTTACTTATGCGTTTGAAATTTAACACTTAAATACTTACAATCATTCTTTATAATATTAATTTTTCAAATAAAATGTTATTAAATGTTATGTATTAATTGTTCAATTTTGACTTCAGTGATAATTTGGATAAATGAAAATAAGTATACTGCCATAAAGTAAATTATGGCCCTCTTGCATTGAAAATTAACTAACATTTAAATAATTCCATACTGACACATCTCTATAGTGGCTAAATGAAAAATGATATTGAATGTGGCGCTCTTGCATTTTATAGAGCTTATTTTTCTCTATTCAACAGTAGTCATAACTCAAAATTGATGAATTTTGAGTTGTGGCAGTCTTGTTCTAGGAGTGCGATATTAGCATTTACCATATCTAATTCTTTACGTAATTGCATTTCTAACTCTGTACTATCTTCTCGGAGTTGATCATTAATATCTTGTATCGCTTCTAGATCAGTCACTGCTTTCTCCAATTCTAATTTCAAATTCAATTTCTGTTAACCCAGACGCTCAACTAATTCCTCTGCTCCTAAAGCTGCATCAACCTAAAATATAATAATATATTAATACTTGGAAACTATCTATTTAAAAATTAATATAAAACCTGTTCATGCAAATCATTAACATGAGATGCTAGTTCTTCAACTCTAGCTGTTGACTTTTCATTAGACTTTTGTAAATCATTACATTGTTTGGTCATTTCTTCGATTTCTCTTTGTAAGTTTTGGTTTGGTGTTTCTCGTGGGCGAATATTCACTTCAGCCATTTCTAAAGTCTCCACCATTTCATTATACTCGTCTTTTTCTTCTAATGCATCTTGTTTCTCAATTTTAACTTTTTATAATTCTTTTTTTAATGCTGATTGAGATTCCATAATTTTAATTTTAAATTCTGCTGCTTGATCCAGCTGCAATTTCATCATATCAATATCATCTCAGGCAGTACATAATCATTAAATGATCTATCACGTCCTCTTGTATACAAATGATAACAAATACCAGGTCTTACACGACCTGCTCTACTACGACATTGTCAACTATTAGCTAAGCTAACCCATTCTTCATTTAGAGGTCCAA